CCCTTATACTGACATTGTTGCCACATGAATGTCTCATTGGTGTAGTATCTTTTTTTTTGGAAGTCATTGACATTTTGCTTTGTATTATTTATTGATACATTTTGCGTATCTAAAACTACCTCAACATGTGTGAACTTGCTTGTGGCTACCATAAACACTGTACAAACCTTTTTCTGCTATGTTTGCATTTCCACATTCTACCACTGTCAGGTCTTGTTAAATGTTGATAGGATATAGCATAATCATTGAATTATCCAATGTGGTAGTATACATTCTAATGTGGTATAGATGTCTGCTCCTACTTTACCTGCCTCCTACACCCACTGTAGGAAAATCCTATGCAAATACCTGGCTAAATGTTGGTATTTGTGTAGGGCTAAGAATGCCTTTCCCTCCCCTCCTCGCATGATAGTGCTCAGCTCTGCATAGTAGGAAGCAGGCTGAGTGTTTGTAGCTATAACCCCTTCTCTTTATAGTGTAGGTTATACGGTGCAGTACTCGCTATAACATGAATACAGATTTCCCTTAAGCTCCCAAAGCATTTACATATTTATTTCTGAATGTAATTAGAATTCCTAGCTTTATGCTTACATCTCCCTGAATATACACACATATATAGCTATGACAATGGTTGTAGGCTGTAATAGTAATGCATTTTATATAGCTCAGCTTTACAGATATATACACAGTGCTGTCCTCAGTAGGCCCCCAATGCACAGAGGTTCATATTTTAATTCAGAAGATGTACATATGAATAAGTGATAAGCCCTCAATTATTTACTAACTTTTTATTTTCAAATATGCGTGGTAAAGTTGCATTACCTCCTGTAAATGTCCCTACGAGACTTCTGTATAGACCACTCTGGTGGCTATGTGAATTTACTTCCTCGTATGTCCTCTTTCATCAAGCAATGACACACATTCTTCTAGTAGGCCATTCTAAAACATCTCCTCTATTGCAGTAAATTATAAGTAACTTTACATTAGAAAGCCTTAACAACTTAAACTATAGATTAGCATGAATTGTCTTGAACCATTTCTTATATATACAGTATATATATATATACATATATATATATATATACACATATATATATGTATATATATATATACAGTATATATATATATACTGTATACTGTATACATATACACTCATACATACAAAGACCTCCTGCTTTCCAGCTCCCTCAGCAACTCCTCCCATGCTCGCTCCCAGTACTTCTTCTGTCTCCTACTCTGACTGTCTTTAGGCGATCCCTGTAGACCCATCTCTTCAGGGAAGACTATCCCACGTCAACCTAACCACTGAACTATCACTTTCTCAAACAATTCATCCCCACACAGCTACCTCCTCATGTATCACTTGCCCCTCCCTTTTAGATTGTAAGCCCTCAGGGGCAGGGCCCTCCTTACCATCTTGTCTTGAATTGTATTGTGATTGTAATGTCTTCCTTATATTGTAAAGCGCTGCGCAACCTGTTGGCGCTATATTAATCATGTATACTAATAATAATAATAATAATACATACACATACAGACACGCACACAGGTTACCTTATAGTTTCATAAGTAAATGTGTTCAGCCTTAAACATCTAGTGAGTCATCTAACTGTGTTATATATGCACATTTCAGGGATTGAAAATATCTCTGCTCCATTATTTGACCAACCTGGTATGGCCAAACATTGTGGGTTGTCTCTTTGTTGCACCAGAAAGACTGATATCTTCTTACCATTAGAGCACATCAAAAAGGTAATTAGTTGACACAAGAGGAAAACAAATCCTTAATTAAAGTGTAGCTCTACCATTATAAACTATCCAGTTGACATAGTCAGCAGACAGCAGGAGCCAATAGATGTCTTCATATATCCATTCTATATTCATGTGTCATCTTCCTGAGGGCCATAAAACTCTCATATTGACATACAGGTTTGAAGTTGTAATTCTACCATATTCCCTTGGGATACAGGCCTTTCTATTGGTTCGAGTATCCTATATTGTATGAAAAGATAGCGGAACTCTACAGCTGAAGGTTGCCATACTGAGCCCCTTGAGCTCTGAAGGATTACAAAAGACATGTATAGGCATATGTAGGCACTGTGGGTTCATTGAATGTGTTAGCTTATATAATTTATCTTGCTTTTTAGAGAAAGTAGACATCTCAAAATGTTTTTTTGTTTTGCACTCCTTTTTGTTAATACAGTGTGCAGTAGATTTGCTAATTTGCAGTCATTTTTGTGGTTTATGCACACTGATCATGCACACTGATCATAACATCTTTACTTTTCCCCAAAATAATTATTTATTAAACGTTTAAACGGTCAGTTGTATTATGTCACAGAACAATATCTTCCACAGAAGTATATATCCTGGGAAGTTCTGCTTTATTGACTCATTTTTAATGTTATGCTACCCTCTAGTGGAGATATCGTAAACTATGTTTCATTATAAAACACAATCCTTGAACTATTTTTCTCTGAATTGGCTGTAAATTAGAAACTGGAAATCACATCAGATGGGTTTGCTACATTTAAAAAAAGGCCACCACAAGCAGTTCATGCTCATCCCTGGGGCTCAGCCAGCTGAATTCCCACCAATAACCGGTTCTACTTGTTTGTGAAAGACAGTAATGGATTTCCAGGGCTGTATCACGTCAAACAAGGCCAAACAGCTATATTTGCTCAGGCAGTTATGAAGCTGCTTCTTACTAACAAGCCAAACAGCTGATCTGCGGAGAGATGAATGTGGCAATCCCTTCCAGTCAGCAACAGCCATCACGAGGAAAGGTTGTCACCCTTGAAGGTGAAAAATCCTTTTTATATCACAACCAGTGCAGAATGTGGGATACATTAAAGCAAATACAGTGCTTCTGAAAAGTGAGCTTTTCTGATTTACTAGCTGTCAGAGATTATAAAAGATAAATCCCCGAACCAATGCAGAGCTGAGACTGAAAAAGCAGATCTGATACAGAAAAGATTACAGCGCACATTTGTTCATGAAACTGAAGCCAACTTTTGCCAAATTATGTATGCATTGCCAAGACTTTTGACTACCACCACCAACTACTGTAAATCTGAATCCATACTGAAATCTATTATTATAATTTCATTTGAGAGCTGTGTGGGGCTGAGCATCAACTTTCTAGTAAAGGTCAAGGTGGCCAGTCTAACCCCATGTAACATAAAAAGGCTTCTACTATAATTACACACCATATACTGGATTTTAATTGTGCCATCCCCAGGACCAGTGACCCTTGTGAAGTCACAGTTTCCTGCATCTGCAAATAAACAAATGTAAAAGTCATGTAATTAAATTGAAATTCTTTATTCTTCGAGCCTGCAGGTTTCCTCTGTCCCAGTCATGCTGTTCTTTGCATGGTATAGGTGTGTGGTCAATGTTGGTCTTTTACAGACTCCTGACACAACCAGCCTGACTGCATGTGACCCGTATGCTGTTATCATCTGATCTGTGGATACAACCTGCTAGTGACACCATTGCTGGTGTCTCAAGGTCTACTGACACAACCTAACTGCTAGTGACCCCAGTGCTGGTGCCTCAAGTCTACTGATACAACCTGCTTTACTGCTAGTGAACCCAATGCTGGCGCCTCAAGGACTACTGATACAGCCTAACTGCTAGTGAAACCAGTGCCGGTCTCTTAAGGTCTACTGAACCAACCTACTTTACTGCTAATGACCCCAATGCATGGGTCTCAAGGTTTCCTGATAGAACCTGCTTTACTGCTAGTGACCCCAATGCTGGCGTCTCAAGATCTACTGATACAACCTAACTGCTAGTGACCCTAGTGCTGGTGTCTCAAGGTCTACTGATACAACCTGCTTTACTGCTAGTGACCCCAATGCTGGCGTCTAAAGGTCTACTGATACAACCTAACTGCTAGTGACTCCAGTGCTGGTGTCTCAAGATCTACTGATTCAGCCTACTTTACTGCTAGTGACCCCAATGCTGGCGTCTTATGGTCTTCTGATAAAACCTTCCTAACTGCAAGTGACCACAATTCTGGGCTCTCAATTTGACTCACTGATTTGCTTAGGTGACATTTGCTTAAAATATTTGTATCTCTTTATTTAGAGGTTAATTTTTATGTGTGTTTGGGGTAGTTTATTTTTTTTTCATTTAGGGGCATATTTATAAAGCAGTGCATGTGACATTCCTCAAACATTCACTGGTGTTGAATAATTTAGTGCATACTTGAAAGCATTCACTAGGGAGATTCACACGTAGTGAAGGTTTGGTGAATGTCACATTCACTGCTTTATAAACATGATGTTTTTTGTATTTACATTTTTTAAAATGTGTTTGATTGTCATTTGTGTTGTGTAGTTTATTTTAATTTTTTTACTTTGACTTTTCATTCATCTTCAGTTTTTTTCTTTTTTTTTCTGTGTAAAATTATGAGGTTACTGAGGGCTGTTTTTAGCACAGGAACAGGTTCAGGATGGTTAAAAGGAGCTTCTGTAATACATAGGAGCCATTTAAAGCCTACTGCACTCTTAAAAGCTACAAAAAAACCTTGATTTCACATTCCCCAATAACTCCAATGTTTGCCAAGATGGGGAAATGTTGCAGAAATGTTTCCAATTTTTGCAGAAATTTTAAAAAATCACAATTCGGCTCATCCCTACCACTGACCCAGTGCTGGTTTCTGACATAACTTGCCTAACCTAAGTGATCCCAGTGCTTCTTATTCTCTGCTGATATAATCACAGGGAAATTATTGTAAAATAGCCAAAATTGCACAAGTCCTATAATAATCTCTAATCTTCTTGGTGGGAAATTTAGTTGGCCTCATGCATAGTAAATAGTGACCCACAGCAGTCAGTCTAAAGTTTCCTTTAATCAGATCAATGAAGGATCACATAGGCCTGTTCCTGAAAAAACCCTATAAAATAAGCCCATTAAAATGCTTTATTGTAGGGGCCGCCAAAGTATTTCTCATTATAAGGATAAAGGGTTGTCAAACATATATTGGAGTGTACCTGTTCGTGTGACCATGTCCTTTCAGAGCCATCTTTCACACAGGTGTCCAATCTTAGTTCTGTTCCTGTAGCTCCATGTTTGCTGTCAATGCAGAGGTTAGATGCCACATTTCGAATCTATGAAGGAAATAGGATTCAATTATTATTATAATACAGGATTTATATAGCGCCAACAGTTTGCGCATCGCTTTACAATATAAGGAAGACATTACAGTTACAATACAATTAAACAAATATGGTTAGGGTGGCCCTGTGAGAGCTTACAATCAAAAAGGGAGGGGCAGGTGATAAAAAAGGTGGATGCTGTGTGGTAATTAGTTGTTTGAGAGTGTAATAGTTCAATGGTTAGGTTGAGGTGGGATATGCTTCCCTGAAGAGTTGAGTAGGAGATAGCCAGACAGTTTGGGGTAGGGAGTTCCAGAGGATGGGAGAGGCCTAAAGGAGTCCTGGAGGGGAGCATGGGAGGAGTTGACAAGGGAGCTAGAGAGCAGGAGGCCTTAGGTGGGGCAGACAGGACAGTTAGAGTGATACTTTGAGATGAGGTTGGAAATATAGCTTGGGGCAGAGTTGTGTACTTATTTAAATAAATAAATATTTAAAGTGCACCACCTATGGATCTGTAGGCTTAATACTTTCCCTACCAAGCTCACATATGATTCTCTGTGGCAAGAAGAAATAGAAAATATATATTATGTACAACAATGTGTGTTGTAACATTAGACAGATTGGCAGTTTCTTCCTATTTGAGCTTTTATCACTGAATAAAGACTCTCTCTAACTGATGTACTAGCAGTCAGCAACGCCTGAGTGTGTATAACCTGATTAATGCCAGGGCTGTAGCTACCATGGGGCGAATGAGGCACTCGCCTCAGGCGCAGCTGAGACACTACTGCTGATCACTGCAGTGTTTGTAAACAACTGGGGACACATAGTATTATGTGTCCCCTGTTATCAATGAACAGGAAGTGCTTTACATCAATTCCTGTTCAATCATGAGTTTCTCAATGGGTGAAATCACTCACTAAAGAGGCTTCTACCCATTGATAACCGGATGATAGTAAATATTTTACTATCACCAGTTTCTGAATAAATGAGAAGCCTCTTTACTGAGAGCTTTCCATTCATTTAGTACAGAGTCTGCAGAAAAAGAGATTGAGGACTCTGTTACTATTTGAAATGGTGAAGTGTCAGGGGTCTTGTTAGACCCCTGATGTTTCTCTGAAGCCGCCCCAACAGTAAAAAAATAAATAAACACATGAGCAAAGATCGAAAATTGGTTTCAGACAAAATGAACGGAAACAAAGAGGGACAAGTGAGGAGGAAAGATGGATGGAGGAATTTGGTTCCAATTGAGGGACAGTTGGGACATATGGAAGAGGTCAGGTACATTCCATAATATGTACTAAATTCAAAAATATGGGTTTTCCATACATAGCCCACCCTACAGCAGAGGTGTCTGGCCCCACGGAGGAAGAAACCCCTGCCAGACACAGCACAGGTAAAGCAGCGTAAAGCAGTACCAGTATGAGGTCTGTGTTACCATTTCCTTTTTTTAATGTGGGGGCTTATTATACAGTTTAAGCCCTCATTCATACTAGAAACGGCGAGCACGTACAGCTCCGTGCTGTGTGCACGGCCGTATCGGGCAGCTGCCGAGAAGGACAGGTGCTGCGTGTGATTAGTACGCTGCCCTTGTCCTTCTCTATGGGAGTATGCGGCCGTACGATGCCCTACGCTCACCCGCCCTGCACGTCTGTGTGGGTGTCTGTACTCGTCCGCTAACAGGATGGATCCTGCCTGCGTCCGAGCCAGGAAACACACACCCGTACGGACCTGCACTTGGGGTGAGCGTAGGGCGGTGTACGGCCCTACGCTCCATAGAAAAGGACGGGCGTTACGTACTAATCACACGCAGCACCTGTCCTTCCCGGGAGATGCCCGATACGGCTGTGCACACAGCACGGAGTTGTACGTGCCGGCCTATTCTAGTGTGAATGGGGGCTTAGGAGAGTATGTAGTGAAAATAGTGAGGCCAGAGCTTCAGCATGACAGCCAGGAAACATTTTCAGAAGAAACTCAACATTTGTAGGATATGTATTAAAAAAGGGAAACATTGTCTGTTCACACTGTGTGGTTATGTAGCCTGCCTCCCAACTGTCCCTTATTTGGGGGGACTGTCCCTCGCTTGTACCAAAATCCCCCTGTCCCTCTTTCCACCTCAGTTGTCCCTCTTTTTGGTCTGATGTATTGATATCTATGAAAAGGTACTATTTAACTACCAACAGTGTTATTCTGCACTAAATCCTTTATCTTGTCGGTTATGTGTTTAGATGAAGCATTGAGATCTTGAGGAATGCTGAATTAAGTTTTACTTGCTCATAAGAATGTTGCATACATGTATACAGGATTACAGCATCAAACAGGAAACATATAAATCGTAGATAAAGATGCATTAGCATAGAGACTGAAATTGCATTACAGCTCCATCTGGTGCTCAAAATACATATTTACAGTCAGCAACACTATCAGTATGCTGTTGCATCTCCCAACATATCTTATCTTGTAATCCTCTTGTTTACTATTTTGAAAAGCCATTATAAAAGCAAATTAATGGTGGAAAAATTCTGGGTATAACCGAACACTTTTGGCGTATACATATTTAATGGTGTGGAAAACTGCGCTAGGGGTGTGTCTATTGCGTAAACACCTAGTGCTGGAAGGCATCACTTTTTCTCATCTCAGAAAATTGGGAGGTATGATATATTACAGATTTAAAATTATACGGTGACAAGAAATACTTGCAGATGGTATAGTTATCTTGCTGTCATTTGGCCCTGTTGAAATCAATGTATTGATGTAAAATGAACCAGTCAACCAGGAGTTAAAAGTATTATTTAGCCACAACCACAATATATTACTTGTGCTGCTGATTTGCATTTGAATAGAATCTGATGACGCTATAGTTATGAGTAAACCTTCACAGAGGCTTCCAAGATATCTGCAAATGGCTATTACGTTGATGGCAATAATAGAACACTCCTAACGCTATTATCTAATTCAGTTTACCCCAAGAGAAAGGCAAGCAGAGTGTCTGACAGTCTAGATTGTTGTTTCAATGATGAAGTACTTTTCTTGCATCACTGTTTGAAAAATCCTTTGTCATGCAAGCCAGCAGCATTACCTGTAGCAAAATACTGTATCTACGCAATTCCTGCTTTCTTTGTCTGAGTTAGTTTGTGTGCCCAAACAATAAGAAAATAGTCTGTATCCCAACACATTACGGTGTACAGATTGTGTCCTGTGAGAGGAAAATAACCTCCTCCATCATGCACTAAGTACATTCCTCCATCATGAGATATTGCAGCTTCAATAATGGATAGTAAAATGTGTTTATGGCTTTGTAGGGGTACTCTGGAAATGGCTAGTTAGACTTCTGCTATTGTAGGAGAAAATAGGGAATATAAATGGCTGATTGTATTAGAAAATAACAGATGGAGGTAGGTAGGTTGGTAGGTAAACAGTTTCTGTATACATCACCCAGATGCAGGGAACAGTGTAATAATTATCATTAATACAAAGCACAATATGTTCTCTGCGAGTTCAGCCAGCATTCAGAAGGATGTTATTCACATGTGATGCTGTTAGGAAAGTGGAGATGGTATTTTTTGTTTGTCATTTAAATCTTGTGAATAATGGTAAACAGTAAATGTAAAATCGCAGCCTCTGTACAAATGTTCTGTTTTTAATGCTGTGTAATAAAAAGGCCAAAACAGAAATAAATCAATAAATTATAAGCCATAAGACAAAAGTCTCAGGCTTTCATACCCAAACATTAATTGGAGAAAGCTGGTGAATGCATAAGGAATACAATGAAAACAAATTTAGCTTCATGATTTTGTGTGTAACAGAAAGAGCATTTGTGACAGAATGGGAAAAGAAACTAAGCTCTAAAAGACTGAGTTTCCACCCCCTGCTGTCCTGCATCTGGGTGCTTGTTTGTGTTGTCAATTTCAGTTAGGTTGCAGTGAATTTTACAGAGGTTTAACAGAATCATGTTAATGCTGACCATTCTGGCTTTTAAGATGTCAGTTTGACAGCTAGGTCATGCTCTGTCTATCAGGAGTGCTGACAGAAGCTTCCATGTAAATAAAGCCTGTAAACAGTGGTTGCAGACTTCATTCAAACATGCTGTAGCTGTTACATTGTATTTTGGTTAGTACTTTTGTACAAATAAAAAATTGCCCTTAAAGTCATACCTAATAAAAAAGGATATAAGATAAGCGATACTCAGACCATGGCTTCCAGTCTCCTCTCCCAAACAATGGTTTATGTCACTCCTCATGCCTCAACTGTCGTGGGACCAGGAGTGCCCTCTTACCTGGGGTCCGATGGGCACAGTGGAGATTGTAGGGTCCTTCTTGGGGTGATTTGGTGCCCGGCGGTGGCTGGTTGCGGCTGCACAAATGCGCGCGTACCTGCGCATGATGTTCGTGCGTGACCTGCGCACACACGTGACGTTGCCGTGGTCGATTAGTCACTTGTGCTGATGATTGCCAAGGTGGGCCTTGCAAGCACACCTTCTCTCCTAGCCATCCCATTGGTTTCCAGGGACCTGTAGCTTCCTCATTGCTCAGACAACAGAGGCGTTTCTGGTCCCTGCTGGTTTTAATTCCAGCCAGAGCCAAGACTTGTTGCTAAGTTATTCTGCCATACCCAAAGCAACTACGAAGCCTCATCTCCTGTTTCCCATTTCCTGCTTTCCTTCCCCGCTATTTGGATCTCCTGGTTATCGACCCCTGGCTTGATTCCCCGTTTATGATACTTGCTGCTGCCTCGACTCGGACTATACTCTGACAATGCATTTTGGATTCTCCTATTTTGTACCTCAGCCTGGACTCTCCCTCTGGTATTGTTCCCTGCTATTGGGTTCTACTCCAGCAAACAGGGAGACTCCGCTCCCTCCCTAACATCAACCTATGAAAGCTGAGGAACCCAAATCTTGCAAGAATGCTCTTCTTGCTTACACTCTAATCGATTACAAGCTCATCCACCTTCTATATCCTCCCTTTATACAGTAATAGATTGTAAGCTCTCTCTAATAAATTATTTCACCTTCA